TGTCAATTAATAAACTTAAATTGTGCATATTTTTATTCCTCAATACAAAAATCAAGATACATGCACTGTTCGCGATTTAGAAAATCACAACCCGTCATTCCGACTTTTATGACTGATCGCAATAATCCATTACAAACAACACATTCAGTTGTTTTATGATCTAATAGGAACTATAAAATTGTGCTCGGATTATATTTTCCTACCATGCCTTTAGATTTGCAAAATTCCACGGATTTCCAGAGATATGTTGCGTCAAAAATTAGACTTGACACGACGCAAAAAGTGTTCGCGATTTCGGTGCGTTACCTTAGTGTATCTCGCATTTTCATTGGCCTACATTATAAAAAGTTATGGAAGAAAAAACACACATGCGCACCCTGCGGAATAGCTCTTGTGGTCAAATGAATGCAAGGAAAGAAACCCAGCCGGAACACGACCCAAAGTCAGGACCAGCGTCCGGGAATGTCTTGGGCTCGGCCAGGCAACCATACGACGCGTCATTGCCGGTTTGAAATTTTGCTTGGGGAAGAATCTGGTGAAGAATATGATTAACAAATCTGCTTAATTGTAAAAAATTCATTATTATCTGTGGTAAATAATCATGCTAATAAGTAAAAATATAAAAATAATAGAATAATTTGTTTGGAAATTGTATAAATCAATATTCTTCGAAGTATCACGTTTGGCAGTCAATTTGTAACCAATGAAAAGATTTGTATTCTTTGTCGGCGAATCAAATAATTATAATTCTACCATCGTCTCAAAAACTTTCAACTTGCATTAAATGAATGGCCATTTACGCTTGGAAGTCAATATACTCGGATCAAGTCATAGTTATAGACAACATAGATCTCTAGTTTTAATACTTACCTCCTTCATCTAAAACGGACTAAAACTGACTGAGATATTGTCTCACCTGGTGTATCTTCCCCAGTGTCCCCTACAATATTACTACACCATTTTGCAGTTAACAGTATTTTGAACGAATGCCCGATGTATTTGGCCGTGCATCTGATTTATTTGGTGATGTGCCCGATATAATTAGCCGTGTGCCGAAGTAATTGGACATCTGCCCGATGAATTGTGTCGTGTGCCCGATGAAAATGGAATAACTCAAATAATTATATTTCATGAGGTACTCAAATATCTATCTTTTACCTATTCTCTCGACCAGTAGTTGATAAAATACTTATCTTTTTTTAAGGATGAAAACGATAACTAATCTTTCCCCGTGGCAAAAATAAATAAGGGCTGGTCTGAATGCCACCCCATAAAATTATGCCATAAACCGTTTTGGCAAGTTTGCAAAAATTTCCCAAAGTCTCATATCCCATGGGAAAAAAGAGAAAAGAAGTATCTACACAGTTGCCTGGATGCCAGTTGAATTATGGAAAAATTGTTCGATTTCCGATTGAAGTGCAAGACTTCAACGTGAACACAAACCTCCATAATAAAGTTAGACCAAATCGGTCCATTTTTTTATGCCATAAAACACCCGATTCTCAAGCACTTTGGAGGCATAGACGCACAAATTTTCGAAAAATGGAATATTTCGATTTTGGCAACTTTTCTTGGAAAAACGGCCATTTTTCGTGGCATCCAGACCCGCCCTAAGTAATTTAAGTAATTTACGTCGAAGTATTTATTACGAACTTGAGAAAGAACTCATTCGAATAACAGGCAATCGATCGACCAATAAAAAAACAGAACACTAATAAAGTGGCCAATCAGATCCACTCTTCGACCATTTCAATATCGAATTAGTATGTGACTGAAATTAGTGTGACGCTCGACGATCTTTACATACAAAGTCGGGACAAAGCATCGATCAATAGATTTGGCGAATCAGCACAAAAGTCCAAATTTTGGGTAAAAGGACAATACTACTACACCAGTTAATGTTAAACTACGCTTCCGAAAGCATCAAAGTTCGTTCAACAGCAATCTATAGCTACCTCAACGCCATATAGTACACCATTTTGCGTTTAATTCCAGCTTATTTTCAAAATATTTCCAAAAGCCTCCGATATATTTCACCGAATCGCCAATAAAATTCACCCAACCTCCATTATATTTCACGCCGATGTAAAATATCGGCGATATATTTCACCCAACCTCTGTTATAATTCACCCAACCTACGGTTAATTCCAACTTTCGAAAATATAATTCACCTAACAGTTGTTATAATTCGAGCTGGGATTCTACAAAGATCAAAGCATTTGTGAATCTGCGCTCGATGGAAGAGGCCATCCCTGCACCACAAACTCCGGTACGTCTCTCTGTTGACCGCTAACATGACGTGTCAAGACGCTTCGTTCTTAAAACTAGGCCCGTACTCCCCGATGTTGAACCCGATCGAGAATACGTGGCCGGCGTTGAAGAGCCGCATTAAGACATCTTTGCGCGAACGAGTCGCGGCCTTTATGGGGCCACCGCAAGACGGGCAGACTTAAAAGATGTAACTCAACAATGAATTAGGAATTGAGCCGAATCGTTTGCATGTGTACACGGCCCGCCTTGAACCGTTTTATGTCCGTGCTGAGAACATGGAAGACATGGAAGTTAGTGCTTGAGCCGTAGATGTCGTAGATATGTTGCGTGGGTTGGTTTTATTTTACTTTCCATGAAATATACCAGTGGTCAGGTGAAATATATTTTCGAAAGGTGAAATTAAGCGTTGGTTGGGTGAATTTTGTCGGAGGTTTGGTGAAATATAATGGCCAAATTTCAATTCGGCGTGAAATATAATGGAGGTTGGGTGAATTATATTGGCGATTCGGTGAAATATATCGGAGGCTTTTGGAAATATTTTGAAAATAAGCTGGAATTAAACTCAAAATGGTGTACTATATGGCGTTGAGGTGGCTACAGATTGCTGTTGAACGAACTTTGATGCTTTCGGAAGCGTAGTTTAACATTAACTGTAAGCACTGTAACTAGGAAAGCTCTGTAGCTAGATCTGGTTATACAGAAAATCAGTCTTAGCGCCGCCGCTGCCAAAATTCCAGCACGCCAGTCCAGGCATGCAGCATGGGACGCACCAAGTGCCTACAATGTCACAGTATGATGAGTACCACTTACATTCAGGCACTCCAACACATCCAACGGTTGATAGTATGTACCTACCGTGACTCGTACAAGGACATGGCTCCATCAACCAAACTGCCGACGTGTGGCGTCAGTCCTTCGCGCCGCACCGCCGCCACCGCCGCCGCCAACCCACTACACCAAAATCATCCAATCAGTCGGTTCTATATCGATCAACCACAGCTCCACGCCAGCAGCTTCAAAGATCCACAAAGGTACAGAACTATACGATCCTCCTCCCATGGTACGTTTAGAACGTGCCCGAGTCTCGAGGCCAGCAACGCCGCTGACGTTGTCGCAGTTGCCACTTTGGACGCCACGACACTGCACTCCAAGCCGACTACTCCGGCTTTCAAGTTGGACCACACCGCGAGCACCGGCGGCGACGTCATGCAAATCACGTCCAGCGAATCCCTTGACGGATGCTCCGTCGTCCTTCCCTCTTCCCACACAACTTGACAAATCTGGCTAAACGCGTTCACTTCCAACACCATCAGTGGTATTAGCGCGAAACCAAACGTGCCACCAAACAACATAAACAGCATCGCGCATGCCACCATATGCACACATCGCTGCACCAGCATCACGACAGTGGCGACCGGCCACGACGGCGGCAGGTTCCGCACAGTCTTGGCCACGTACGCCACCAGGACAGCATACTCATCGTCTAGGTCGACGAACGAGCCACCAACCTGCCTCTGTCGTCGTCGGTGGGCGCGAATTTCGGCTTGGAACAGCTGGACAGCTGATCCTTGGAGCGATTGAAACGTCGTCAGGATATCGTCGACGCTCAACGTACTCGGTTGATTCCAAAAGTCTATCGAGTAGTACCATTGTGAATATTCGCTATAAACTTGCAAAATACACTCTTGGTGTGTCTAATCGATAATGAATCATGATGGAGTTGTTCTGATTTGTTGTTGAATATACTTGGAAGAGCCAATCAGATCCACTCCAAAATGAAGTAGCCAATAGAATCGATTCGTAATTCGATTCGACGATGGGGTCTGGAACTTTGTACCAAATCCACAACAGTTAGCAGCCAACTACTACACACGTGCATAGCTAGTGTACGTACCAATAGCCCAATGGCCCAAGGCTACCACACCCCACAGATGCAGCTGGCTCGACGCGACCCCCTTCAACTGGCTGGCCAGCGCAGCCTTGATGGCGTCTTGAATAGCTCGGGGGGGAATCGATCCCAGCAAATACCCCGCGAGTTCAAACGCAATGGGGGGTACGAACCGAAAGATGTCGTGGACGTGGCCTAAGTGCACTACCCAGTACAACACGAGCACAATATGGAGCCCCGCTTTGACGAGTTTTGGGTGGTCCTGTGTAACGAATAAGGTCGTGGCGAGGTATAGCGTGACGCCACACGCTAGCCACTGGTCTTGGTGGATGAATGCAAACAGGTTGAGCAGGCCAATGAGGCGAAGCAGCATAGGCAACGTCGCGAGAACACACGGAAGTAGGGTCATGTGGTACAGCTTGTCGGAGGACTTGGCGAGCCACCACTTGAATGGGCTACGCTGGGTTGAATCCAATGCAGAGGGAACAAGAAGACAATTGTAGGTCCATCATCCTACCGTGTGCATATATGGAGGAGGTAGTGTCGACAAGGTCGCAGCGCTGTCAATAGGAGGGCCACCGCCGCCACCACGGAGAGCGTACGAATGCGTTGAAGGCACCACGTCACGACGCCAAGCGCGACCAAGATGGCACTGTACGAGAGCTGGGGACTCGACATATGCAGGTTATTGAAGATTTCAAGCAGCAGGGTTGCCATGAGGTCAGCCGGAGACATGGTGGATGGCAGGTCATTGTGGGAGGTTGTGACTACTTGTGCTGCATTTTGACGGTGAGTGAATGTAGAATGGTCGCTAGGTGATACTGCCGTCGCAGAAGTTGAGGATGTGTGCAGCGGCACTACAGTCGCTGGAGGCTGGGCGCCCACCATCGTCACAGGGACCACCATCGGCACGAACGCTGGAACGGACTCGTCCGCGACGAGTTCGTCCAATACGGCTACCCTCGCACGATGCAAACCGTCCTGTAAGGCTACGTCGTTTGCATCCAGTGCCACGCCTTGCTTGTATGCTTTCACTGCTTCGTCGTTTCGTGATTGACGCAAGAGTGCTTCCCCAAGCAAACCGAACGCCCGAGCCGATTTTGGCTGCAACGCAAGCCAAGCTCGGGCGTCTCGTTCAGCATTCACAGGCTGGCCAAGCTGCATATACGTGGCACCTCGTGACTGCAACGCGGGAACGCTCGCTGGGTTCCCCCGCAACTCCACGGTCCACTTGTCAATGGACGACTCGCCTTCTTCATCGGACATGAGTCCTTTCGCTTTTGCTTTTGACAATCCTCCGGATAATTTGTCCACAACTGGCCCATTCTGTAACTGTAATCAAAGAATCTGCCATGACGACAATTCTCTTCCGCAACCAACTCATTGCTATCCACGCGTGGAAGCTGCAGAAAGACTCGCCCTCAGGTGGCTTGCTGGATGTTACTCCTAGCTCTACACTAGACGGCACTACTACGTCCGCGCTCCTATCGTTTTGGCTACGTGACAATCCTCCATCTAGTGGTCAATTCCTTCGACGAAGTCTGTCCGCTGACCATCAAAGCATTGACCATCTCGCAACGTGGCTTCGAGGGCTCTACTGTGAATTCTTCGGCTCGCCACCGATTTGTCGCCACAAACCTGATGATGAAGGCGCGCTGCAATGGTCATCGAACGTGGGCACGACTTTGCTGTACGAAGACGACCTTGTGAAGGTTTGGGACTTCCACGTCGCACCTCAAGCCCGTTGCCACTACCACGTGCATCGACATACGTACATGTTTATCAACCTCATGGCTGGAATCACTCAACCCGTCGATGAACATGGCCATATTCTTGTGGACAAACCTGTGCGAGAGCACGCACAAGGTGAAATCACTTTTGTCGACGTGCCATCCCTCCCGACGCTCCCGCATCACGCGTTTAAGAACGTGTCGACAACCACGCCGTTTTGTCAATACATCATCGAGTTCAAGGAAAGTAATGGTAGTAGTTAAACCAACTAACCTCGTGAAAACGTTACCTTGGGTTATGACTGATCAACGATTCGCGTGCTTCCTGCTTTTCACTATGATTTTAGGAAGAATTCTACAGGACCGCCGAGCTCCAGAATTCCACCCAACAACCACTGTAGCAAGTAAGCTTGTCTGCTGATCACAGACATGTAAATGCGGTTCATCATAAGAGTATACATTGAGAATTTTTGAGAATTTGGCGTCCTGTCTCATTCGAACTGTCAAGTCAACTGTAACTTTTGGCCCTCAACTTCCCAACAGCATTGCTCAATCGCTGTCACCTCAAACATGTCGTCCGAAGTCGATGGTACAAGTGACGTGACGCTGCTTTCCTGCGTGCACGGCCGCGACCGCCGTAGCCAGCGGGCAATCGCAAAGCGGGATTTGCAAGCAGCTATCAAGTACGGCACCAAGGAGGCGTCTATCAAGGACCGCTGGAAGTACACGTTTGCCAACATTGTGTACATCACGGACAAGACGAGCCGCCGAGAAATCACCTCATTCGTCCAGCGCGTCAAAGTGTCCAAGGTTACTCTAGAGGCCGACGCATTGGTCCAGCACGAGCAACTCAAGGCGAGTTTGCAGTTGCAGCCGAACCTGTCGACGTCGCACACGGTGGTGGTCACCGACATGAGTGGGTCCATGCGCGAAGCCGACGTGGAGTCATTTCGATCGCGATCGGACGCTGTGTTTGCTACGGTGGCGTTGGATTTCGTGGGCAAACACCTCGACGACGGGAGCAGCATCAACGGCACGGACGTGTTGACGCTGATTGAAATGCGGGACACAGCCACGACGGTGTTGTTTCGAGAGCCCATCACGAACGTGCTGTTCAACAAGCTTGTAAGCCTGAAAAACAAGGCAAGGCCGTACTTTCACGGCAACTACCTGCCCGCGTTGGCAGCGGTCACGGACGCGTTGGTGCTCGACGAGGATACATCGTCTGCGATCGCGGTGGTGTTTTTGTCGGACGGGCAACCGAGCGATGCCACCAGCCCCTACGGGTTGGCCTTTGCGATTCGAGAGTGTGTACGGTCTTGGGGGGAGAAATTTGGCCAGCGATTGCATGTGTCGACGATTGGCTTTGGCGCTCGTTATGTCGACTTTTGTGTGCTGAAGGATATGGCGGTTGTGGCCACCGACGCCGGCGCCCACGGTAGCTTTACCAATACGCAACTGAGTGCTCATGGGTTAAGCTCGACGTTGACAGACCTTCGATCGAGCCTCAGCGCCACCCGAACCAGTTTGATCACCACTGGTCTGGACAGTCTTTCTAGCGGCAATCAAGTGTTGCGCCAAGTGGCACGAAAAGTCCAGTTCATGACGCTGACAAACGATGTGTTGGAGGACGGCAAGTGGGATATTTACACGACAAGCGTGAAGAAATTTCAGCTGAATCCGACGCTCACTCGGCGCCACGGGATGCACAATTGGACGCCAGTGGCGATGGCGGAGGGGATTACTGGAAGGGCGATGCGACAGAGTGTGTTTGGTGAGGGGGCCGAGCGCATCGTGTACCAATTTTGTCAAGTCCAACGCTCGTCGACGGGGGTGGCGACCGTTGTGCCTCCCATGATGGTGGCCAAGTATTCTCGATACGTGATGAGTAATTCCAAGGAAGAAATGCACTTCCACGAAGTGTTTTGCCGCACGCAGCGCACGGCTGGAAAGTACGCGCATCGGTTCAACGCTGACGTGGCGAAGAAGGCCAACAACGTGGCGACAATCACGTTCCTCGAGTGCTCCGTGTACGTGCTTGACGGCATGAGTGTGCTGGTGGAAACGATGCTGCCCCAAGCCCAGTACAAAAAGTGGAATGGCAACAATGGCTATGTGCAAGGGCAAAGCCAAGTGAAAGCGCCCAACGTTCACAAATTGCTCCAAAGTTTGGGGATTTCACAGCAACTCGAGCCCCCCCCCCTTGCCCGTGCCACAACGCAATCTATCAACAAACCAACCCTCGACCGAATCGAAGAAGAGGATGAGAGCAGCGACAGCGACTGCGACGACGATGTATGCCCCCCCAATTTGACGGCGCCAGGCGCTGGTCAGCCACGGAACAACAACGTGACCATTGCCGTGGAAGACGTCCCCCAAGCGTTTTCGCACTTTACGTACTTTAAGTCGAGACGTAAAGCGCTCGTATGTGACCTGCAAGGCGTCCTCAATACCAAATCGACGCCCCCCGAGTTTCACCTGACTGATCCTGTGATCCACCACCGAGGCCATGGAAAAGTGCGCAAGTATGGCCGCACGGACCACGGCATTGGCGGCATGCATCGGTTCTTTCAAACCCACGAGTGCAATCGGTTGTGCGAATTGCTGAACTTGCCCAAGTGCACGCGGGACCAACACGTGTCGTAACGATGCAAAACGACGTCATGTATATGTTGTCGTTGTATGAAGCAATGTTAATATAGTTGACTTGTGTGTTGAGTCGCACGGGGCTTTGCGATGCTGCCAACGCATCGGGCAGTGTGGAACCCCCTTTTATTGCACACACGCACAGATCGCGGTACACACCAAACATATAATACCTGTACATTACTTGCAACTGGATATGTCTACAAAAGCGCCGACCCATCGTCGATAGAGCCGCTCGCCGTCCTGACGCAAATCGCCAAGGCGCCAGGGTTGTTTTCAGCTACTTCCGTATGATCGTCGTCTGCTTCCATGGAAGGCGCGGCGACAGGCGTGGCTTGGTCCGGGCCCTCGTTGTTCGACGATACTGACGATAGCCTCATGTGCCTCGCACGGATGTTGCGCTTTCGCAGTCGCATAGCTCCCACGACAAGCAGGATACCCATGGCCAGTCCAGCCACCGTGAAGGTGCTGATGTATATGTGCAATCGGTTGGCATCTTCGGCGCTGAACTCGTCTGCGCGATGTACGCTCATATCGCCGCTCGCTCGCTCGCTCGCTCGAGTCCAACGTGATTCTTCCTTCTGCGGGCGGGACTGTGATTTGGGAATTGACAGTGAGTTGTTGTGTCGGTAAAGGGTGAAAGGGTGGGGGTGCCGAAATGATTCTTTTTGACCCTACCCCCCCCCACAATTATTAATCGCAGCTATCCGTCCTGGGCAAACGTTGCCAGTCGTAGAATTCTAGCACTCACGTTAATAGTGCAAACTTCATACTCCCAGAGTAACCAACGATAACGTGTTGGCATCGTACAGAGTCGAATTGTGATGTTATCAAAACCATGGGTCTTATGGGGGGAGTGGAGAAAGTTTACCCTGTAGCACCAAAACGTTGCTTGGATATGCGTGGGTGGCGTTACGTTATCCAATTCTTATCCTGATGTTGCACACCATTTCGATACAAAACACAAGTCAGCTCGAGTATATTAACACCGTCATAGTGTAACGGTCGCGACCGCTGGAGCGTAGAAACTTAACCCTTGTCCTTCCCGCTGCGATTCTTGCGATCTTGAATGTGCTGGCCGCTGCGTGATGCCAGCGTACTAGGCTGGAGATTCCCGAGAAAGAAACGGAACCAAGGGCTCAATCCACGTCGCACCTATCGGTGCTGTTGATCCGAACGATCGATCGACTCACGGTTCGACGGCGTGTTCAACACCCGAGGCTATTATTGCGGAGCGAAAACTGGTACTACTACAGTAATCGACAGGGAAATGCTGTCGGAAATTTGGTTACCGGCGTCGCGACGAGGGTGCCATTGATCCACCGTTCGAGCACGTCCCCACACAAACCTCCGGTCCGTGGTCACGGTGGTGTCCCAGGGGTACTCAAATACTGACATCTATATTTTACCTACTATTCTCAACCAGTATTCGGTATCACTGGTCGTTTATAATCAAGGCCTTACCTGTGAAGAACCCCATCGTCGCCTTGAACGACTGGAACCTGCGGACATGTTAGTAGAGGCCTAAATCACACTCATGAACCCAAATCACACTCATGAATGATGAAATCGAACGATATAATAATAGAAAAATATATATAATTGAGCGGGGGCGACCAGAGCTCACGAAACACCACCACACACATATACTAGTCTACCTCGGCCATTTCTGGGCCAATTTCGCTCACTCTTGGAACAGTCCCACCGCTGAGGGATGCCCCAACAGGTAGGACTAGTCCCACATACACAACAACGACTAAACGCCACCATACGCGTGACAAGCACCTCCGACCATGGCACTTGAATAATTATGGGTGGATATACTCTAATCGTATTGGTGGATGCACTTGTGGATGCGTTGGATGATTCAATGTCACTGACCAGGATAACGTTGGTTTGACTAACAAATTACGGCCCGTTGGCTGACCTCGTTATAGGAACAAATACCTTGACCTCCCTTTGCTAGAGGAACATCATGCATTACATATTGAACCCCTTGAACGACAAAATTGCATATTGCCGAGCCTTGGCAATGGCCTGGTGTCTCTCCCTCTATACTGCGAATTCCCTTCACTTACTACTCCCACTCCACTCCGCATATAGATAGATTATCCCTGTATTGTGTCTCTGGCTGAAGTATTATGCGATACTGTTTCGTCCAATTGTGGCCGCGGCCTTGTCTTGCGTGTCCTTCAAGCGCGCTTCGGCCGCGTGCATTTCGCTTTGAATATGCTGGCGCTGGGTCACGCGCTGGAATTTTGCGGGGGCGTCCGGGGTCACAAACGGGGCCAGCGGCTCAATCCACGCATTGCCTTCGGTGCCGTTGAATCGGACAATGGACTGGCGTTTTGTATGGGCACTCAACACTCGATGCTAGAACCAACCCCACACGACGATGAATTGATTTAGTTAGTTGGGGTGGACGCCGATAGTTAAAATAGCGGCAGGCTAGTATTGTGAATTCGCTATTGTGCTTTCCAGTGAAATTTCATTATGTTGTGGCGTGGTTTCTCGTTGGAATTTAAATCGATTTGATTGGCTACTTCATACGAGCTCAAAATTATTAACCAATCAAAACCTTCTCAATGAAATTCAACCAATCAGATCGAGCGGTTTGGTCGGCGCGATTCGAAACCCACATTTGTATCAAATCGACAATATAAACTTCCAAAAATGCGTGGTTTGTCTAATCAATATTGAATCACTCTGGAGTTCTGATTGGCTGAATATATTTGAACCTTTCTGTAATAGCCAATCAAATCCACTCAAAAATAGATTAGCCAATAGTGTCGATTCGTGATTTGATTCGGCGGCGAGATATTCGATTATTCCACGGGGTCTGGAAATTTGTACTACCGAATCCACAATATATATATATATATATATTGCTTACCGGTGTAGCTACTAGCTCGCCGTTGGTCCACATTTCCAGCACGTCGCCGACCAACACAAACAACCGATCTGAGGCGACGGGGGTGTCGATCCAGTGGCCATCTCGCCCTTGTAGTTGCAGTCCCACATTGTTCTGCGTATAATGACAATTAATACATGCAGCATTCCAACCATCCTATTATATATATATATATATCTTCTATTGTGCATTCGCTACAAACTTTCAAACTTCGCGTGGTTTTGGATTCAATACTATTAATAGTACTACGTAGTATTGAATTACGCTGGAAGTTTTGATTGGTTGAATATACTTGCTCTTTCTGTAAGAGCCAATCAAAAGATCTCAAGATTAGATTAGCCAATAGCAATGTCGATTCGACAGGGTCTGGATCTACAATCTCTCCAACTACAATATCTCCACAGATATATATATCTACAATCTCTCCAACTACAATATCTCCACAGATATATATATATATTGTCAAGTCGATTCGAAATTGGAGTCGATCAACCAATCAAAACCCAGATCACGAATCACAATCTGGCCAATCAAATCCACATTCAACACCGAATTAGTGTGTGACTGAAATTAGTGTAACATCGGACGACGTTTACATCCAAAAATCATTGCAAAGAATCGAGCGATAGATAGATTAGCGAATCAGCAAAAAAACGTCCAAAGTTTTGGGTAAAACGACAATATCACCCTCACCACCCATTTGTGTTTGTACGCACCTGGTGAATGATGGTAAAGCACTCGAAATCTGTGTGGGCGGCAATGCCCACATGCTTTGTCCCATGATCGACGACACCTTCGGACTTATGTGACTGTTGCGGGGGATACGTCAGCAATCGCATGAACGCTTGCGCTTCGGCAGTGTTGTATACCTATACAACCACCCCAAATACCTGAAAATAGTGTGTTGTCTAGCCACGGTACACTTGAGATGCTGCACTCCTTATATGCATGCTTTGTACTTGTTGGTATTGTCGGTGCTCAATCGAATGAGCACAAGAACCAAATCGACACGACAATAACGATATATCGACCAATCAAAACCCATATATCACAATCAAATAGCCAATCAAAACCACTCTTCGACCAAGTCAACATCGAATTAGTGTGTGAATGAAATTAGTGTGACAGTGGCATACAAAACGCAGTACAAAGAATCGATCGATAGATTTAGTGAATCTGTACAAAAGTCCAAATATTTGGGTAAAATGACAACAAAAAGGACGATTCTTTGTTCGCGTACACGAAAGGTATGGCGAGGCAAGTCGAGCATTTCTGCAAACCCTTCGAAGAGCGCATTGGACACGTCGGTGGTGGCGTCGTACAGAGCCATCACATGGTCGCGGAACTGAGGAACTTCCGCTGGCCACACATTTGGCCCCAGTCTACGCTCATGGATATAAACGAGTGGATGGGATGGCTTGCAAGCTAAGCGGTGGAAGTGCATGTGTACCCTTGGTCATCGTGCAAGTATGACGCCGGGAGGTCACGGGCCAAATCAAACCCTTCCACATGCGACACCACGCCAGGCTCGTACTGCCGCCATATCCTGTGAAGTCACGATCGATTTAGGTAGACTTGATACAGTACCGACGGTTCTTCGTGGAGAGGGGTCCATCCCCTGGCATTCGAAACGTTGCGGACGTGGTACTTTTGCTTGGTGGAAAGTGGCAGGGCGTTGAAATCGTCGGCACGTGCGTACACCTGCGCATACATGTCATATAGTACCATCCAACCGATGTCCCTTCCTCAGAGATGTGTACCTTGTTCAGCAGGCCTGGCGGCAGCACCGAAGCAGGAATGGTGAAGAAGCCAAAATCGCGGCAGGCGGTACGCATGGCATCCAAAGCAGGCTGTCGCGACGCCTTGGACGACGATGGGTCCATCAGTGCCGACATTTCTACAAAGGGAAGTTGCTCCATGGAGGTACTAGACATGGCAGCCACACTGCGACGAGGCCATCGACGGCAAGCCGCGGTTACTCGGCCTAACATTCTAACAGGTGCGTTGGAAGTGGGTTTCGAACAGGGGCGAGCTGTGATTGGTGCATAAACATGATATGGGTCAACTTCAACATGCACTTTTAAAAGTATTTGTATGCACTAATTTTGGCCAATGAATCGTCTCTATTATCTATTTCTACCTATCATATTGTAGTAGTATCTTATCCTACACCATTTTGACCAATTAAAGTCATTTAGGGGTAGGGCTAGCTCAATTCTGTCGGTTCCGACACATTCCGACGAGCCGTGTCGGAATGGAATCTGATGGTCTCACACACAAATTCAAATGCAGTGATAACTACAGAGAACCGAGTAGGAACTCGCGCACAGTGGTATTTTGAAATATATGGGGAATTGTATGCGAATGCGCAAGTTGTGATTCCGAG